TTTGATCTGTCATTTATTACCTGTGTGATTTAAAGCAAGTGACTTATACTTTCTTTGATGGAATTTATTCTTTTGCAAAACAGAAATGATAGTAGCTAGAACTATTATTAGTAGAATACTATAATTACAGTGAGGAATAAATAATAAAAGCAAGCGCTACGAGTGCCTTCAGCAAAGGCTAGATACTAATCTAAAGCGTTTTGTATATATTGTCTCATCAATTGGTTATAAAAAGCTCACAGATTATGTATTATTACCCCATTTGCAGATGAAGACAAATCGTGGTACAGAGATGGATTGATTTGCCAAGTCAAGCAGAAAGTGTTTGACAGACTTAACTATTTGAACTCAAACAGGGGGGTGCACTGTCCGTCTTACAACCACTTTATTTCCTGATTCTTTTATGGGTGGTTTTATTTTAAGCCACAGAAGTGGGTGAGCTCATACATGTAATGTGTTCAGAACAGAGTCCGGCATGATGAAGCCAGTAGGGGCTAGCTGCTGCTGCCCTTGACTACTGTTTCCACTACAACTTAGTAGGTGTGAAAGAATGAGTATCTGAAGTGCCTTATTTACATACACCTTATATGTATATAACAACAGTATCTTCGCATCAGTATAACTTCTGCTTTGTAAGAGAAGTCTCTGCTACAGCCGCCTATTACTGGTAACATTCTCTGTGTTTTGTTGTTGTTGTTGTTTTATTTATGTGGTTAATTGTCTAGCTTTATGTGCTAGGTTATGAACTCGTTAAGAAGAGAAAGTTTGTCCCTTGTTTCTGTTTTTTACCCAGTTAGCAGCGAAGAGCTGGGTACATCGTAGGTAATCAGTAAATATTTGAGATAAACAAAGGTAGACACAACAGAAATGAGAAGAAAGGGATTTTTTTTTTTTTTACCTTAGTCACTTGCACTGCCTGTGACAAAAGCATGGAAATAAGAAGGACATTTTGCATTATTTCTCTAAAACCGTTAGCAAGGTTTCAACCAGGACCTAGGAAAAAAGGTGTGCATAGAAGAATCATGAACAGGGGACTTCAGGTCCTCTTAACATTACCATTGCTTTTCTCCCACGTGCTTTGCCTCAAGGGTAGCAAAGAAGGCAGACAGGTTTCCTAGAGTCACAGCCAAAAAGCAGGTCAAGTCCAGAATACTATGATATGCCTGCCACAGGAGTTTCCTTGATTTTGAAGGACAAATATTTGAATCAAAGATGAAGTTATTTTCCTCCAAAAAGAAAACATGTTTATATCACTATATTGTACAGAATAATATTACACCTACTTACCCTCACACAAAATTTATATGGCTTATTCCTACTTACCAAGTAAGTTTCTCCCCTTTGCGTTCTCAGCAAGAATAAGCTGTAAGAGAGTACTGCTATGTTGTGAAATTAGACACTAGCTTTCAAAGTCTTGGAACCCAGGAATATAATACAAAAGACTATAAGGAGGGCATGTAGAGAAGAGAGTGGAAAGCAACAATTTATTCAAGGAAATAATTTTCTTACATATAGATCTTTGGAGAGAGGAACACAACAAAGGAGCTTTATAAAGCGTTAAATGTCAGTTTTTGCAAAGAGGTAGTTTCGTGGTACTAATTTTTACCTAAAAAAAGGGTTTCGTATTAGATTTATAAATTGCTGAGGATTGTACTTCTTTAGATGATTGAAAGAGTTTCTATCAGTTTTATCATATACACTTTTATCATGTATATGTATATTTTACTTAGTAATGAGTGGATATTATGTAAAAGGTCATGCATAAGCCATGGTTCTAACTCACAGAGATGTCACCGAGCTGATATATAATGCAGAAATGATAGTGTAATTTTTCAGGGAAGATGATGTACTTAAATGCATTACATTTTGTTTAATGAAAAGTAACTTGGTTTTTTTTTTAATTAATTAATTAATTAACTTATTTCGTTTATTTATTTATTTATGTATGTATGTATGTGATTTCTCAAACTCACAACCTCACCATCAAACGTTGCATATTCTTCTGACTGAGCCAGCCAGGCGCCCCGATAGTTGTTTTGATTCAGCTCACCTAATTATATTTTAACAAATCAGTATAACATAATAATATATCGATACTACATGAATACAACATAGAGAATTGTTCATTACCCCTCCTAGCTATATGTTTCTGGTTTTAGTAACAAGATTGCTATTTTTATCATAGTAAAGTTTTAATACAGATATATAAAAATTGAATTCTGAGGGGAAATTTAGTGGACTCACAGAAGAGGAGGGATGAATGCTAGGGGGAGAACCTCAACATTTCTGTGATTACAGTAAGAGAAAAGTAGATAGAAATGTTGTAAACTATGACATAATGATGCCTTACTTCTAACCCAAGTCTATCTCTCTACTAAATTAGATGAAATTCTTATTGACTTTTAAAATGGACTTTTCTGTCTTCTTAAAAAATTTAGTAAAGCAGTAATTATTTTAATATACTTACATGGTCCTGAAATTACATAATGTTAATGGTTATTCTTTTTTTATGCTATGGTTCACAGAAATTTAGGCTCAGCCAAGCAAATAAAAGCATATCTTGTCATCAACTTTTAAACATATAAACATTAATTATGTATTATTTATATATATAATATAAATATATTTATGTATGATATATTTATAATGTATATTTATAGATTATATCTGCTATTTTATAACATATTATATATAACATGTGTAACATTATATGTTATTTTATAAAAATATTGTAACAATCTGAATTAAAATTCAACCAATATATCTTCATGGTGTATTGAACTACAATATTGTAAAGGCTTGTGCTGTTTCTTACATTCATATTGATTTTATTTAATTAAAAAAACATTTTTTAGTGAATGAATTACATGTAATTAATTTTACCAACTTAAATAGAATCTTTGTGTGCTTTTAAGAACCATGTGCTGGATGTAATTGCATGCAGTCCTTAGTCCATGACCTACACTGTAAACAGAATTAGAACATATTGCTCAGAAAAAAAGATGTAATTAATTTTAAATATTTTCAAAGATGGATGTCCACAGCATAGAAGTACCTATACCTAGATTTATATTTTGAAACTATACACAGAACACTTGTCATTTGTGGCACAAAAAAATGAGTTGTGGTAAGAGAGGCGGTGAATGAAATTAACCATAGTGTTTTTTGTACAACCAGTCTCACTCTACAGAATAAATGTATTCTTCACAATGTGGAAAATTAATTTTTAAAAACGCAAACCTTGGGACTCCCGGTTTGCTTTTTTAAAGCAACTGCCTCTGTCAGTTGAGCGTCTGACTCTTGATTTCGGCTCAGGTCATGATCCTAGGGTTGTAGCATCAAGTCCCACATTGGGCTCTGTGCTGAGAGTGGAGCCTGCTTAAGATTCTCTCTCTCTTTCCGTCTCCTTCTTCCCCTCTCCTCTGTTCCTGCACATTCTTTCTCTCTGAATTAAAAATAGATAGATAGATAGATAGATAGATAGATAGATAGATAGATAGATGATAGATAAAATCTCAGAGTAGACATAATAGCAAAACCCACTTTTAAAAGTGTGTGTGCGCGCGCGCGCGTGTGTGTGTGTGTGTGTGTGTGTGTGTGTGTGTGTGTGTGTACATCTTCAATCACTGCTTTGCATCTAGTCAGATGTCATACAAATCAACTTTAGGAAAAAATCCATGGAGTCCACCCATGAATATCCAAATCACAAACCTCAAATGCTAATCTCAAATGAATTTTTGTATGGCTTGTATATAAAAGCACTTTTGTATCCACACTGACACAGAAGTGACATACCACCTGGATGGTGAGGATGGTACTGGGAGAGATTTTCATAGAATTTTATTACCTGGGTTAAAAGCTCCATGAGGGCAAGTACTGTTCTGTTTGATCACTGAAATTTCTCAAACCTCTAGAACATTACAGCACTCATAGTGAGCACTCAGCAAATATTTGATGAATGAATGGATGGACAGTTTGTAAATGATCACCCTGCTTATGTTTTAGATCATAAAAATGAAAATTTAGGCAGTTGTAAGTTACTTATGTGATACATTGGTGGCAAAAGCCCAAAATGTAGGTTCCTAAGGCAATGGTATTGTCCTTCAATAAATTATGTCACTGTTAAGTCCTAAATTAGTGATGAAAGTAAACATCTAACCAAGGTTAGATATACTAAGGGAGAATTTCCAGGCAAATATCTTATATACTTATATTCTATAAACCTCCCTACATAATCCATTTTATGATTTACAGGGCATTTCCATGTGAGGTAAATACACAAGCTAGTATCATGTTTATTATGAAGATTTATTTACCCACTCAGTAAATACCTAGTAAATGCTTTTTTTTCAGCAGCATGCTAAGTATTGAGGATGTAATTATATATGTGTGATTTCTATGGTCCCTTTCCCAAGGACATTTCTTCTTATGACAGAAATAAACAAACAAGTAAACACATACCCAGGCAAAATAAATTTGTCTTGTGATGGGTGTTTTGAACCAAGTAAGTGGAGACTGGGGGGTTTGGGGATTGAATGAATCTGTAGTTACGGTGATCAGGGGAGGCAATTTTGAGGAGATGATATTTAAGGTGGGATCTGAAAGTTGCAAACTCAACTTAAAAAGGGGTTTCCTCCTTTGGGTAGGGTTTAAAACATCTCCATGGTAGGCATGTATTCCAATGGGAGATGGAGAGGGGAGGAGTTACTACACCTTGACTGTACAGCATTCGGTAGAGTTGGAAATCATTGCATTGAATAGTTAATGCCCATTTACCAAAGTGGAAACATTCCTATCCCCTCAAGTCATTATTATGAAGCACCCCTATCTTTTTATCACGTTGTTCAACCAATGTTTGGGATGTTAAAATAACTGCTTAATATAAAGCAAAGAATTAGAATTCTGGTAGTACCCAATCAAATGCAGCATAGTTTTATATATTAAGTTTGACTATATTTCTATTTTTTATTTGATTTCTTTATTTTATACATGTTTCCCAGGATAGTCCACTGGTCTTACAGTCTGACAGGAATGTAACAGTGAATGCGAGAAATCACATGGGGCAGTTAACTGGACAGCTGACAGTAGGTGAGTGCTTTGGAGTTAAGATTGCTCGTAGCATCTTACTCCATTTAAAATTTGGGGATTGTTTAAATTGGGGAAAGCAAAGGTATATTATTTCTCTAATATAAACCAGACATCCTTTTTTAGCCCAGTTACCTTGCACATGATTTGATATTTCATAAGTTAGTTATACTTTCCTCTATTTGCTTCTTACTCTTGTCAGGGTGTTACTATGAGACAAGTACAAATATTTTGTTATTACTCTTAGGTTATGAAATGCAGCATTTTCCTAACAAAGCATGTGAGATATAACATCATGTAGTCTATATATCCTTTGTTTTAGGTAAATCATTCCTAATAAATATTATCTGCTAGTAATAATTAGAAATGACATGGTTAGTTAAATATAACAAATCTTAGCATTTATCAATTACTTATGAATTTGGTATTGAGTTTATCTAAATTTTAAGGTTTATATGCTTTAGAAGTTATGCTAATGATAAAATGTTATTAATATTTTCTCATATTGTAAAGAAATTAGAGATTCATATTACATGGCATTATTATTTGACTTAATTTTTATAAGAAAAATGGCAAATAAAAAGTCAGTTCTAATTATGTAAAACAATAAGATTTGATTTATATGTAAATGCTAAAATATCTTTAGAATACTGTATTTTTCTGTTGGGAAATTACCTACTATTGATAATATGTGTATGTATATAAAAGTATAAATAGCAAATTACAACTTGAGGAATGACTTATCCTTATCTTAATGAGAAATTAATGAATACCTTAATACAAATGCATGTTTCCGATATTTCTTTTTAAATTACACAAGTACATGGCATTTGAAATGTGAGGTTTGTAAATATGAATTTGACTGTCTACTTCCTTTGTAGGTATATGAAACACTTTTTGAAATGCTATTTGCCTTAATGAAGCCAAAAATGAAATTTATATTTTATCATACATGTATTTCCAAAACATACAATTGTACTTTATTCATAATAATTGAATTTTATTTTATACATTGTTCACATCATTAAAGTTGGTCACTTGTCATCATTTGAATACTGGAGGAGAAAAATAAAAGGAGGATAAACTGAAAAGTTGAATAAGAGATAATATTAATGGGCAGCGCTAGTTTTGTTTGTACTTACTTTTTTTTTCAGTAGTCTCCCTTATTTAAATTTAAGTTGCAAGCAATCATGTTTGGGAAACTCCAGAGGGCTGCAATGTGGTCCTGCGGTGTAAGCATGAAAGAAGGTCCATAATGCCATGTCTATAACATTATCTCTGTAAAACATTAATGCTAATTAGATATGAAATAATTGGGATGTAATTCTTCTGAATATTTACTTTTAAAATCTGCTTAGAGTCACAGTCTGATGCTTCATAGAAGATCTCATATCTCATCATAACTCCCCTTGTTTAATGCTCAGTAAATTTTAGAGAATACATGAAGTCCTAGGAGCTGCAAGCCTTTATTGTCAGAATCATTTACTCATCTTTGATATTTTCATTTCCATTCATCAAAAATCAATGACATAGCCAAATTATATAGAAGCCGTAATTACATTCTGTGATTTCTCATTTTTCTGTCTTCATTAATTCTTCAAAGCTTAAAGTCATGGCTGCCTTAGATAAGTCTTAGTCTGTGGTAAGAAGACAGAGTGTCATTTGCAAGAAATTAAACCAAGTGATATTAACATTTGGTGCTAGTTTCCTCTCCGTAATTCACTTTTTGGGGATGAAACGCCACATAAAATAGAAGCAACCGAGGGCAGCTTCTGCCCTTTTTGGTTTCTTCTGCGGTCTGAGGTGCTTGCCTTCCTTCATTGCCCAAGGGGATTTACAAGAGGGTCAGGGAGTGGGAGAATTGAGTAGCAAGGTGCCAGGACAGAGGCATCGCTTCCGGGTCTGTGCCTCTTCTAGTACCTGTCAGTCAACTATACACCTAACCGTCAAATTTGATCTATTTATGATATGAGAAATATGCTTGATAAGAAAAATTAGGCATCGGGATTCTGTAAGGAGAATTTCTTTCTTTGATTTGAATATTTGATTGGATTGGAATATTTTCTTTGTTTTCTTAAGATTTTCAGTCAATTTCTGCTAATAATTAAGTCCATATGATGAAACTGTAAATTACATTTTTATTTTTTAATGTTTATTTATTTCTTTTGAGAGAGAGAGAGAGCAAGAGCAAGCAGGGGAGGGGCAGAGAGAAGGAGAGACAGAATCCCAAGCAGCTCTGCACCATCAGCACAGAGCCCCACATGTGGCTCCAACATGAACCACAAGATCATGACCTGAGCCAACGTCAAGAGTTGGATGCTCAACTAACTGTGCCACCCAGGCTCCCCTAAATTACATTTTTTAAATACCATAAGTTTGAAATGAAATGAAATGAAATACTGTAAGTTTAAAAAGACATAAAAAATTAAAATATACATATGTACAAATTAGCATAAAAAACTAGTCCATTCTTTATCCATATGGAAGCTATTTGTATCCTATATAATTATTAATTACACCACACTGACTGGGGCACATGGGTGGCTCAGTCGGTTAAGTGTCCAAATCTTGATTTCGGCTCAGCATGATTTCCTGGTTCATGGATTTGAGCCCCGCGTCGGATTCGGCAATGACAGTGCAGAGCCTGCTTGGGATTCTCTCTCTCCCTCTCTCTCTGCCCCTCCCCATCTCGTGCTTTCTTTCTTTCTCAAAATAAATAAATAAACATTAAAATAAAAAAAAAAAACCACGTTGACCTTTCTGGGTGTAAAGATGTAAAGCAAAATGTGACTAATGGCATGATCCAACTATGCTTAAAGAGAAACATCTGAGCTTTCTATGGAAAACTAGGTTTTCTTCTCACATACACTGAACAAAATGTACACATCATCTAATAGAAGGAATACACTGTTTTTTTGCATCTCTATATCAAAAGAGACATGGGCCTGCTAACCATGGCTTGGTGCTTTAAAGAATGCACAGAATGTGACCACAAATGCCATTAGATAAAATAATTGTGGGAGCAAGAAATAGAACATGTTTCCCGGTTCAACTTAATTCAGGGATAAGAATCTAGACTCCTCTGCAAGAGATGATATATATGTCTATTAAGTATCCCTTATGATATATGCCTTCACCTGGGCTTGTTGTCGGTCAGATGAAGTGAGGCCCCAAATGTTACTTGTTTGTGGCTAGATCTTTTCGTTTCAGAAGTGAAGTGAACTGATGATAAAATTAATATCATTTAGTAAACAGAAGACCCTAATGAAGACTCTTAACTGTATCTATGTCCCTCTGCCCACCTCAGTATATTTCCAACATCCAAGACAGGGAGGCAGACAGACAGGCAGGCAGGCAGGCAGGCAGATACACACACACACACACACACACACACACACACACACACGCACACACGCACACACGCACACACGCACAGAGCACTCAGGCTTCCCCACAGAACTGGTGTAAGGAGAGTGCTGGGAAGCAGGACCAGCACAACATTTAAAGAAACCTTTCAAGTCCACTACTACACACAGAAAAATTGATTGAGACATCAGCATCTTATTCACTGTAATATGCTACAAGATAATTAGAGTCTGGAAGCTTTTCCAAAAATATTTAATAGTCACCTATCATGGAAAAATAATCCTTCAATAATGCAAGCAGTGAATAAAACCACATAATTTCTAAAATTAATCACATCATTTAATCACATAATTTTATTTTTATTTTTTTAATGTTTATTTATTTTTGAGAGAGACAGAGAGACAGAGTGTGAGCAGGAGAGAGACAGATAGAGAGGGAGACACAGAATCTGAAGCAGGCTCCAGGCTCTGAGCTGTTAGCACAGAGCCCAATGCAGGGCTCAAACTCATGAACCACAAGATCATGACCTGAGCTAAGACGCCTAACCAACTGAGCCACCCAGGTGCCCCATAATCACATAATTTTAATAGTAACTATGTTACTGTTAGGAATTTGTTATACAATGATGTTTATTAGGTTGTTCAAACCATGAGCATTTTTTAATATTCCACACATTTAGGTTAATCCACATACCCAAAGATTTCACAATACCTGTCACAAAATATGCTGACTAGAAAGGCACTTTGATTATGAATAATTATTAAGAGGTATTATAAATATTTAATTTTTTTTCAACGTTTATTTATTTTTGGGACAGAGAGAGACAGAGCATGAACGGGGGGCAGAGAGAGAGGGCATTACAGAATTTTAGGCTCCAGGCCTGCAGCCATCAGCCCAGAGCTCGATGGGCTCGAACTCACGGACCGTGAGATCGTGACCTGGCTGAAGTCGGACGCTTAACCGACTGCGCCACCCAGGCGCCCCAAGAGGTATTATAAATAAACCAAAGAAAAAAGAAAAATCAGAACATAAGTTCAATGAAAATTATTTTTAAAACAGAATTTTATGGCTTTTCGGTAATTAACAGTATTATGGGGATAATCATGTGATTTATATGCCAAAATGCTCTAGAAGAGTATATTTACCTAGAAATCATAATTTACTCAGAAACTAGTTTTAGAAAGGAGTTGTATTTTAATAGGTAAAAGCCTGGATTCTGGAGCCAACTAAGTCCCACATCTGTCACTTCCCAGCACTGTGACCTAATGCAGGTTACTCTGGGCATCTTCCATACTCTGGGTTTCTGTGGGGAAAATTGATGAGTATCCATATCATACAGTAAATGTGGGCATTAAATAAATGAATATATGTGAAGTACTTGGAATACTTCCTGGAGCATAGAATGCAGTATGTATATGTTAGTAATTATAATTTTTATTAGATCCGTATGTAAGTAATTCTGTACAATTGACCAAGCTTCACAGTTTTACTTTTCTTATCTATAAAATGAGTATTATGCTAGATTGTCTCCGTGAATCTTTTCTGAAAGCTAAACTCTTTTACCTTTAGAGAGGAAATTAGTTAATGAATCCTCTGGTCCCTTAAATTCCCCACTATTCATTAGTCCTGGCAAGAAA